TCGGTTGATTTTCCCATCTCAGCCTCTCTAGTAGCTGACTACGGTGTGTGCCACCATGCCTGCTATTATAGAAAATATAAAACTGTCTTTATATTTCCTAAATAATGTCTAAGAAAAGGCATTCTGGAACAATTTTCCGGAAAGATTGTTTTATTTCTTGACATTTTCCTTAATAAAGTTAGTGCATTTCATTTAGATAGGCAACTATGAAAAAAAAAGACATGAAATGTTTAAGACATTTAAAAAGTATACCCGGCTCACGCTTATAATCCTAGCACTTTAGAGGCCAGGAGTTCAAGACCAACCTGGGTAATACCAAGACCCAATTTCTACAAAAAAAAAGCCAGTTGGTGGCGTGCACCTGTAATCCTAACACTCTGGGAGGCTGAGGCAGGAGGATTGCTTGAGCTCAGGAGTTCTAACCACTTGAGCAAGAATGAGACCCCATCTCTACTAAAAAGTAGAAAAATTAGCCAGGTGTGGTGGTGCCTTGTCTGTAGTCCAGTTACTTGGGAAGCTGAGGCAGGAGGATACTTTGAGAGGAGTTGGAGGACCAGTGAGCTATGTTGTGCACTGCACTCTATCCTGGGCAACAGACAATAACTACAGAAAAAAGATATACCTATTAGGTAACTACCCTCAGAACTAAGACATTGCTTTATGTAGTTGACTCTTTCTGGATCACATTCTCCTGTCTTTCTAGCCACCTATTCCCTCCCGCCCCCAAACCAATAATGGTGATTATCTTTCCTTTCTTTTTCTTTTCTGGTTTTCTAAGATAAGGTCTTGCTCTATCCCCAGGCTGGAGTGCAGTGGCTGATCATAGCTCACTGCAGCCTCAAACTTCTGGGTTCAAGGGAATCCTTCTGCCTCACCCTACCCAGTAGCTGGGACTGTAGGTTTGCACCACCATGTTCAGCTAATTTCTTTTTTTCAGTAGAAATGGAGTGTTGCTGTGTTGCTAAGGCGGTCTTGAACTCCTGGCTCAAGTGATCCTTTCACCTGGACCTCCCAAAAGCTTGGATATGGCATGAACCACTGCATACAGCCCTTTTTTCTTTCTTTTATACTTTTACTGATATGTATTATATCCATAAGTATGCTTTATATCTTAAACTTTTATTCATGTGCTATCATATACTGGTTCCTTCCTGTTTGCTTATGGTTTTGAAGACTTATCGTGTTTGATTGATACAGGTTTATAGATTATTAATTTACTATTCCCCCCACTCCAAGTTTACCCAGAGACAACTGAGCACCAGCGTGTTTCAGGCATTGTGCTACTACTAAGGACACATAGGAACCTTGCCGAAAAATCTGTCAAATGGAAAGGTTCTTAATCACTTAGGGAATGTTCTGTGAACTGTACTGTCTATACAAAGATTCAGAACCAGTATAAGTTGCTCCATAAAAATATCCCCTACTGTGCCCGGCCTGGATGATAGCTTTTTGATGGAGCTCTTACTTTTGTTTAGATTTAAAATACTATTTGGTAATCCTAGCACTCTGGGAGGCTGAGGCGGGCGGATTGCTCGGTCAGGAGTTCGACCAAGCCTGAGCAAGAGCAAGATCCCGTCTCTACTATAAATAGAAAGAATTAATTGGCCAACTAATATATATAGAAATTAGCCGGGCATGGTGGCGCATGCCTGTATCCCAGCTACTCGGAGGCTGAGCAGAGGAGATTGCTTGAGCCAGGATTGAGGTTGCTGTGAGCTAGGCTGACGCCACGGCACTCACTCTAGCCTGGTCAACAAGCGAGACTCTGTCTCAAAAAAATAAAATAAAATAAAAATAAAATACTATTTGGAATTAGAATAATAATTTATAATGTCTAAAATAATACTGGGCATAAATTAGCTACTAATACTAGCTGTTCTCTTTAGGTAAAAAAATAATTCACTTTTTGGTATCTGGATCGCTCAGGCTGGTTTCGAACTCCTGACCTTGAGCAATCCGCCCGCCTCAGCCTCCCAAAGTGCTAGGATTACAGGCGTGAGCCACCACGCCCGGCCGAAGGGGATCATTTTCATGTTCTTTTAATTCCAGATTTATCATACTGTTTCAACTCATCTGAAAAAAACAAGAGAAAAAGCGGATGAGTAGGTGTTAAATTCAGGAACAAAATACCCATCAATTTTCTTTGAAAAGGCCAGTAAAATTGCATTGTGATGTCAACCCTGTCCTTGTTCACAGGAATAACCTTGTTCTTTAGGACTGGAATGTTTCGAACTTAAAACCTTCACATTTTCATTCCTACGTCAGCCTGCAGATTATGACCTCCAAACACGAACAGTTTTATAATCAAGGTTAATTTGGTGGGAGAGAGGGGGAGAAAAGGAAAAAAAGTATGATCAGTAATAAAAATGTAGTGATGGGCTAAATATTCCAGGTAAAGGAGAGGAGGGGTCTATTTAAAGGCAATGTGGACATGT